TGGCTTTTCATTACAAAATATTTATTCAAAAAAAGTAGATTTTATTTGCTTTTCATTTTGTCTTTATTTTTTGTTTTAATAGTCTCTAAAAGATATTTCAATTCATCATTTTGCATTACTTGCTTTATTAGCTAAAATATCCTGGTGTTTATTTATGCCATTTTGGTTTTTTTATGATGGATTGGATATATATAATGATACGAAATACGTGAGTAGGTGATTAGGAAATAGAGTTCATAAAAAAAAAAAAAAAGAATTCAATTTTTTCTATTATTTAGCATACTCATAATAGAGCAATGAAAATTTTATTTTATTTATCTATTGATGGTGTACTCAATTTTCTACATAATGTTGTAGCATTTACAATGATTTCACTTGTATCACCATTATCATATAGTATTGCAAATAGTACAAAACGAATTGTTGTTATTTGTGCTTCATTATTCATATTAAGAAATCCAGTAACAACAACAAATGTTATTGGCATGAGTTTAGCACTATTTGGTGTTATGTATTACAACAAAGTAGGTTACTTGTATTTTTTTTTTCTTTTGACAATTCAATTGTTGAATAGATAAATTTTTGAACATATATAATAAACAAAGAAATTATCCGAATTTTTATATCATGCTTGTAGTAAAGAATTACAGTGAAAAACAAGCACGTTTTAATTATTATAATCGATAAGAAAAAGTTGCAATATCAGAAGAACAGAATACAGTAAAATCTCCCATAGTGGACACTCCGCGGTCCGATGGAGAGGTTTTTGCTGAAACTGAACCTCTCTATAGTGGACATCATCCAATACTGGATATTTTTGAGAAGTCTCAACTAAAGAGCCTTCCTGTATTCTAACAATTGTTGATTTTTTTGTATTTCAAGAACAAAAGTGCATGAGGAGAGCAGTAACAATAAGCACTGGTTAGTTATCGTATTCACTTAAATCCTTAGAAAATGCGCCCGCTTCTTCGAAAAACTTCGTTTTTTGAAAAGACTAAACCTTCTTATAGTGGACACTTTCAAAAAGTCCCATAGGTGTCCACTATAGGCAGTGTATGTGTCTATGAAGGTTAAGCATAAAATTTATGATGTTCTCTCATCAATGAAGTATCGATATTGGTAACAATCTTCCCTTTTCATTCATTATTAAAACTAGGAAATCGATATATTGATGCCTACATTCTTATTCATTTCTATCTTGCCTCGAGTTAATGTATATTTTATATCAAATTGAATTTTTTCATATTAATCTAATTAATAAAATGAATTTTTTCAATTCAAAAATTCATATTTATTGTTAAATTGAGAAGTTCGACAAAATTTTTCAATAAAATTTTCTGTTGATTTGAAATTAAATCTCATTTACTATTCAGGCTAAATATGATCAACGTCGTGCTCAATATAAACAAGCTATTATCCCATTAGTTCGAAGTGAACCCAATTTACATAAATTAAATCTTGATATTATTCGAATAAATCATCCCGATGCTGAATTAACATCTCGACATCATCCAATATTACATACCAGTGGTCCATATTACAATGGTTTTATCCCAAATTATGCAAGTCAATCATATAAAGATATATGAATTTCAAACTGATTGTTTTGTTTTTCTTTTTCCTAATATCACAATGATTATTCTTCTAATTAATAATTTTATTTTATTCTTAAAAGAGAGAGAGAGAGAAAAAAAAACTAGGAAGATACAAGGCTTGATTTGCCTTTTGAAAGAAAAAAAAAAAGATGCAGTAGATCAACATAAGAAATCAACAAAGTATTAATGCGGCCAAAAAAAAAAGGAGCGAGTAAATAATAATCATATTTTTTAAGAAAAAAAAAAAAAAATCTTTAACGCAACAAAATTTCATGATACAAAAAAAAAAAAAGAAATGAGAGGAATGACTGACTGTCTCTTGATATAATTATTAAGATATTTCAAATTATATATATCTTAACTATCGGAATATATTGTTTGACTAGTAATTATGGAATGGATATAGACACACACATTCTCGATTGCCTTTTTTTTAAAAACAAAAGAAAAAATTCGTTATTCATGCTATATACATTAATCATATGACTAGAGATAAATAAAAATGCACTGTGTGTGTGTGTGTGTCATAATATTTTTTTAATATGGTTTGGCTAAATCTTTTGGGCGTTTTAATTGAACTTTTAAACGTTTCATACCAATTTGAAATCCATTCATCGATTGTATGGCTAAACAAAACAAAAAAGCATAGAATAGATTCAAATTACATCAACAAAAATTCTTCACCTTGTTGAGCACATTGTGGATTATCATAGGAAACAAAACCTAAAACAAAAAATATCAAAATTGTCTTTTGCAAAAAAAAAAACTAATTGAGAAATGAGAAAAAAAAAGAGCGCATGTGCAAGAAGAAAAAAAAAACGAACGAGAACTGCATTGGATTGTCACATCACAACATCAATATGAATGAATTAAAAAAAAAACTAAAAGCAAAAATTAAATTTGGAAAATTCTTGATGCGGCGATCCAGTACATAGTTCAAATCGTTTTCTTTTTTTTTTTTTTTTTTTTTATGTTTATTTTGCTCCTTTTATTTCTCTTTTCTCATAAAAAATAAAACGAAAATATATATGTACCAAAACATTTTGATTGATTAGTAGCTCGATCAACATAAACTTTAGCCGATATAACATTGCCAAATGGCATAAACATTGATGCAAGTTCGGAATCACCGAATTCTTGAGGTAAATGATAAATAAAAAGATTGCAACCCTCTGGACCGAAGAACTGTGGCAAAGCTATGAAATCGAAATCGTTTAATATTATTTTCGAAACAAAAAAAAAGAAGAAAAAAAAAGAGAGAGACTTCACTAACGAAAGAAAAGAAAAAAGTTCAATTAACATTATTTTTTAACTAACCTTCTTTACCCGGTGATGCTATAGCGCCCGGTATAAGTGTTGTTGTTGGTATAGGAGAATATATTGCTGCTGGAGCATAGATAGGATACTGCGCAGGTAATGTTGTATAAGCTGTAGCAGGTTGTAATTGAATACCAGTAGCAGTGTCTATTGTTGGACCAACGACAGCTGGAATAATATTTAAATAAATGAAATTATGTCTATGTTGATGTTCTATTAGAAAAGAAACACTTTTGACTATTGGCTATTTCGCAGTTTGAAATACTGCCTAATGACAGATCTTCTCTCTAGAATTAATTTTATTGTCGCTCTAAGCTAAATATGAACAAGATGATCGCCGGCGGGATGAAGTTGTTTTTTTTTGATAGTACTGAAAATAACATTTTTTCAGTTAGAGTGATATGCAGAGATTAGGTGATTATTCAAGAGAGCGATTGATAATGCGAAAACTTCGCTGGAGAAAGTCGAAAATTTCTCAAAATTGGCAAGCGACTTCACCATTTTCTTGATGATTTCCTTGAAAATTTGGATCGAATCTCATATTCTCATGACTCATATGTTTTAAAAGTTAATGAAAACATTATTGACAGGGGCGGATCTACAGCAGACGAGATGGGGCGACCGCCCCTCCCTTTGGTACTGGTTTCATGCTATTTTCTAGTGATTTTTCTCCAACATATTGTATGTTTATCGTAACCGCCCCTCCCTTTTGCTTAACCGCACCCCCCTTCAAAAACTCCTGGATCCGCCACTGATTATTGAGTAACAATCAATACAATATTTACTGTTATAATTTTGATAGTAAAATTAATCCATGTTTCTTATTTTTGTAAACAAGAGAGTTATCGTACACATAGACGAGCAGAATAGACAAAATAAAAAGCACTTATAAATCTCGACCTGGAAGGATGTTAGAGATCATTAACATCGCTAGAAAATGACGTACATGTATTACTAAGTGCAAAACTAAAATCAAAAAGTGACTGGTTTCCTTCATCAATAATTTGTATAGCAGACCAACTTGATACAAAAACTAACTTTATCTCACACAATAATCAGCATGCTTTCTGGCAGGTGATCCAAAATACATAACTGTAAGAGATTTGTTCCATAACTGAAGTTAGAACACAGTACTTTGCAGACACGTGCTGAACAACGTGGCAAAAATTCTTTTAGAGCCTGTCATATAGTTATAATAAGCTACATGATTAATGCCCTGAAGCGCAATTATTGTGAGTTCAAGACGGTCACTGAATCCTGTGTTGAAACATGAAATATTATTTAGTTTGAAATGTTCATGGAGTACAACCCTCTCCCCCCCCCCAAAAAAAAAAAATAGAATCGATATTTCTATAATGAACTATTATTATCGAAGTGTTTGTTTCCAATTATATCGAAGATTAAATATTTACAGTAAACAAAAAAAAAAAAATCATCTAATTCATTTCATTGCTTAATCCTTATGAGTTACAATATTAGATTCTCACATGAGTTAAGAATTTCCGTCATAGAATAAAATTGTTTTCTATCTGATAGTATCATATTGATAAACAAAAAATTTATTAATATTTTACTATTAGAAAAAAAAAACAAATAAAAATTCATTAAGATTTACTAAACTTACTTGAATATTGCATGCCTGATGAAAATAAATCCGTTGATTGACCATTTGGAGCAGGTCCTGTTTGATAAATTGTTGCTGGACCATTATTAACAGGAGATGCATTGACTAAAGAATAATTAGGAAAGTCCATATTGTCACAATCACCTATGAGATTAGTTACTCAAATTTATACTTAATATAATATACTTCTATTTGATTAGTTTTTTTTTTTCCTATTACAAAAAAAAACTTTTCTTTTTTTGTTTTGTTTTTATTTACCTGTTGATGGTGTCATAGTACCATTACTCATTTGTTGACCAGATGTTGTTAAAACTGGTATTGTTGTATATGCTGTTGGATGTGTACCGGTTGATGATGCTAATAAAGCTTGTTGTTGTAATTGTGTATATCCTTGATAATTTAAATTAGCAGCTATTTGTTGTAATACTAATGGATTTGATAAAAGTCCAAGTGGTCCAGCTAATTGTTGCATACGTCTTAATTGTCGTTCTTTTTCTGTATCAGCAAATTTAACAACTATAGATGATGATGCACCTGGAAATGTTTGACTTCCATGAATATTTTGTATTGCTAATTGAGCTTCATTATGCGTAGAATATTTAACAAATGCACATCCTTTACTATCACCACTAGGTCCTCGTAATATTGTACATTCTTCTATAGTACCATAAGGTTCAAATATAGTTCGAACATTTTCTTCTGTCATTTGTTTATTTAACATTCCAACAAATAATTTACGATCCTCTATTAAAATAAAAAGAGAAAAATATAGAAAAAAAAAAAAATTTCATTCAATTTTTAGCTTACACTTATTCTCAACTATAAAACATCTGTCATTTCTCTACATGTGTACACACACACACACATATATATATATATACATACATACCTAGCTCTTTAACCGGATATACTGTTTCTACCTGGTAGGCTATCTAGTTTATTAATCATGCATAGTGACATGTGACATATTTCACCTCTTTTTCTCTATTCATCTGTTCCTATTATATTTTATATTCCCATAACACCACAGCAGTCAATTTTTCTCATTCTCACTTATTAATGAATATGTCATATATTGAAGTAGTATTAAAAAGTAAAATATCTTTTATTCTCTCACCTATAGTTCGTATTCGATTACTTAATATTGAATATTGTGTTTGAATTTCGTTTGCTGCTGCGACCATCATTGATGTGTAATATGGAATCGAAAGAGAATGTTGATGAAGATGTAAAAAGAAATTTTCTTTCTTTTTTTTTCTGCTTCTTCTTCTCTTCTTCGCTCGGAAATCTCAAGCGTCTACTACACTCTTGTTCTTCTTTTTTTGTCGACCGGAAAAAGTAGTCACTCTTTTTGCTTCTGCTTCTTTCCCTCTTTTTTTTTCTCTCTTCTCTTTCTCAACTACCTAGCTAGCTATCCGACGCTCTTTTCTATATGTCGGGTCAAGTTTCTTTTTTTTTTTTTTTTTTCTAACGACGAGCGTCGACGATGGGAAATCTTATTAGGCTCCTTTTTTTTGTCTATCAGAGAAAAAAAAAAAAAGAGGATCCTACTATTCGCCCACTCACATACCGATTGGACAATTTGTTTGATTCATCTCGCTGGCTTCTTTTTTTTATGAACGCGCGTCTTGCCGTTTTTCTACACTTAGAAAAAAAAAAAAAAAGAAGAAAAGAATTTCCTTTCGTCTACTACTAGAATTAACCTGATATATATATATGTGTGTGTGTGTGTGTATGCGGCATGATGAAACAACAGAAAGAAGTTTAGTAAAAAAAAAGATAATCATTAGTAAATAAAGAAAAAAAAGAAAAAGACTAGAAGACGTTGGTGACTTTTTACAACGATGAGGCTGAGCACATAAAAAAACCAACACGACGATTTGACATTACACCATTTATTTAGAGAAATAGAAAAACGTGGTCAGGAACAACACAGGCACCAATTACTACCATTAATAAATAACGACAAAATATATATTATGACTAACTCACATTAATTTTTGTTGCTGCTGTCGTTTTAAGGCATATAGACAGAAGCTATTTAAAACAGATT